CTACTCAAATAATAATAAATTGTCAAATATTCACCTCTAAAATTAATATCACGGAAACTTACGCAAATTCACGGAAAATCACGCAAAATCAAGGAAATTCACGGAAAATCACAAAAATCTCGGAAAGTCTTAAATTTTTTTTTAAAAATCTTGGAAAAGTTGGAAAATATGGAAAAATGTGGAAAAACTTTGAAAAATCTCGGAAAATTTAGAATTCTGGTAAAATCCTATTAAATCTTGTAAAATTTAGTAAAATTTAGTAAAATTTAGTAAAATTTAGTAAAATTTAGTAAAATTTAGTAAAATTTAGTAAAATTTAGTAAAATTTAGTAAAATTTAGTAAAATTTAGTAAAATTTAGTAAAATTTAGTAAAATTTAGTAAAATTTAGTAAAATTTAGTAAAATTTAGTAAAATTTAGTAAAATTTAGTAAAATTTAGTAAAATTTAGTAAAATTTAGTAAAATTTAGTAAAATTTAGTAAAATTTAGTAAAATTTAGTAAAATTTAGTAAAATTTTGTAAAATCTCATAAAATCTCATAAAATCTCAAAAAATCTCATAAAATCTCATAAAATCTCATAAAATCTCATAAAATCTCATAAAATCTCATAAAATCTCATAAAATCTCATAAAATCTCATAAAATCTCATAAAATCTCATAAAATCCCATAAAATCTCATAAAATCTCATAAAATCTCATAATATCTCGTAAAATATCGTAAAATGTCGTAAGATCTCGTAAAACTCCGTAAAATCTCGTAAAATCTCGTAAAATCTCGTAAAATCTCGTATAATCTGGTAAAATCTCGTAAAATCTCGTAAAATCTCGTAAAATCTCGTAAAATCTCGTAAAATCTCGTAAAGTCTCGTAAAATCTCGTAAAATCTCGTAAAATCTCGTAAAATCTCGTAAAATCTCGTAAAATCTCGTAAAATCTCGTAAAATCTCGTAAAATCTCGTAAAATCTCGTAAAATCTCGTAAAATCTCGTAAAATCTCGTAAAATCTCGTAAAATTTTGTAAAATTTTGTAAAATTTCGTAAAATCTCGTAAAAAATCTTAAAATCTCGTAAAATCTCGTAAAATCTCGTAAAATCTCGTAAAATCTCGTAAAATTTCGTAAAATCTCGTAAAATCTCGTAATATCTCGTAAAATCTCGTAAAATCTCGTAAAATCTCGTAAAATCTTGTAAATGTGTCTTGGTCATATTAACCAAGCCGGCCCTGTGCGGGAATTAGTAATTGTTCAACAAAAAATCTCAATCATATCGACCGCGACGGCCTGGAGGAGAGCTAATTTCTTATTCATATTGACCGAGACGGCGGTTGACGTGTTAAATACATTTTCCGGCATTGTATTGGATCTGCTGATTTGCTTTTAAGTAGGCAAGACACACTACAATTTTATAATACCAGTTTATTTTTTCGTAATATAATTTTGAACAGAAAGGTATTATTATTGTTATTATTAGTATTAAGTATTCCGAATGTTACTGAAACTGTGACAGTTGTAATAATTATATTTTCCTGTTCCACTCAATAAAATAGTAATAAATAATAAAGTAGTAGCTTTATAACAATTGTAATGACAACGGCAACACTGATTGCCTACTTGAAACATTTTATAAAATGTACGCTAGAGGGCTTGCGCTTAGCTTGAAATCGCCAAGGTTCGGGAGTCGAAATTTCGAATTCGTACGGGTAAAGAAGGAGAAATGGAGAGTGATTTTGTGGATGTTTATTAAAAATGTAAGTGTTTAAATATTTTAATTACTATCTAATAATAAATTGAACTTTTTTATAATAACTTTCTGATAAGACATTTACTGGCATCATTTATATAATTCTAATTCAATTTCATTATATATTCGCCTGTTTTTTACCGGCTTGACTAGGTACGTGACGCCATAATTGTCTTTTTTTAACTCATTATAAAAAGTGTGTAGTAGATTTGTGTTTTATATTTTATATTATTGGCTAAACAGTCAAAAATAACAATCTGACTATATTTTATTCAATATTTCTATAATTCATTTTCATAAAATAACTAGTAGGTATGTGTGCCTTTGAAATGATTCCAGAGTCTGGGTAAATTCAACAAGGGAAAAAGCAATATTGGTTACGTGTGACTTTACAGACACGAATTTCAAAATGTTTTTGGTCTATATTATTAGAAAGTAGAGTAGTTACATATTATCATGAAACTAAAACAAAACTGCCGAATATCCAGTAGAAAATATTACATTTTCAAACAAATTTTGACGTATTTCTACATGGTTGCCAAACAATTTGATGTGTAAAAAGATATAAATCTAATTTCTAAATTATTAGTAAAATTATTATGCATTTGTTATGATTTATTTGTAGAGGTTTGCCAAAAATTTTAATATACAGGGTATCCCATTAGTGCGTAATTGTTCAATAATTCAATGTGTGTTAAAGATACGCAAACAGGTTTTAAATAAAAGTTATATCGACTTAAAAAATACATAATTTAAAAATAATTTTGGATATACAGGGTGTTGCGTTTTTGGTTGGTAAATAAAAAAGTGTTTTTTTCTACAGAACACCCTGTATTTTATTCTATTTTTAGAATGATTTGGAAATACTGTATTAAGCCTTAAAATATTTTTTAAAAATATTACAGTGTTGTCAAGCAATACATTTTTTTGAAATTAGAGTATGATGCAGACCCCAAATTAAATTATCATAATTTAGGTATATATACATTAATTTCAAAATTGTTTAATATACAGACTTATAAAATACTAAGCTAACGAATAGTGGTGATAAAATTGGTTTATTTTATACAAAGTGTTTTTGAAACATGTCTTAAATATGGCTAATTTTAAATTTATTTACTCAATTTTTCAAATGCAACAAAAATTCTTTATAAATTTACCTATAAAACGATACCAATGTTAGCCAATAATACATATACAGGGTGTCCTATCAGTGCGTAATTGTACGATAGCTGTTTAATTATTAGAAATACAAATAAATTTTTATTATAAAAGTTGTATGACCATATTTAACAATTATTCATAATTATACAGTAGGCTAGGCGAAATAGGCATATTTTTAAAAAATATGAAAATTAAGTTTGCAATACCCGTCAAAACTTGCGTTTTTCTGTGCTTACTTCTCGTACTTTTTTTAAAATTTAAAAATCCACATTTCCAGCACTCTACTGTCCCCTTTAGGGGTGAAAAGTTAAAGATTGAAATTTTGACGTACAATACCAAGTATAAGTTACATTTTTTGTTTGTATTTTTAAATAACATCTTCAGTCCTCTACTACGCCTTTTAACCAATGTTTAACATTTAACATTAGACGACTAAAACTAAACAACACATTTATTTAAAAAATGGTAAAAAGTATTGTAGTGCCTGAGTTGCACTACATACGATAAAATGTTACAAACTTAACACTTTTTAGCTAATACTTTAATTTGTTCCTAATATGACAAAAGAATAAACTCACCCCAGTACAATAAATGTGTTTTGCTCATATTGCTGCTGCTGTTACACTTGGCGATTCAGCCGACTGCAGGCTCTGCTGTGGTTTCTATCGGAATCTCTGTTCCATCCATTTTTCTCTTTTTTCATCTTGGGCTGTTCTATCGGGGTCACCAATGTGGGATCTTTAAAATTATTCATCCCATCATAAATAAATGGTTTTGCTAAGATGTATAAGGTATATTTAATTCTAAGAATAAAAAGACATGTCTTGTATATAAAATATAAAAGTCATAATCTCATGATGATCAATAATCATTCTTAGCAACCGAAGTTGCTTAGGAGATGATTTTATCCCAAAGTATTGTAGCGCCTCAGTTGCACTACATACGTTCCCCCTTTTTTTGAAGTGTACGGGTTAATACAATGTTCTGTTAGATTTTCTTGTAGAAATGTTTTTCTTAAATAATTAAAAGTTTCTGCGTTTTCATCTTTTGTGTTGTTTACAAGAATGTTTTTTTTAGAATTAGTAATTGCTACTGCTAGGATCCGATAGGTCCTTTCTACTTGAAGAATACTATCGTGATACCAATTTTGTATCTTCTGGTGTTTTGGTGTTTTGTACCTGGACGTTTCATTGCCCTAGGTAAAAAAAACTAAGGACTATTTTCCACTAGCATTTATGTGTGGGCGCATGTGAACGGTTGATCCTTTAGCATACGACAATTGTGACCTCCACATAATATATGCACATATGTGTGGGCGCATGCGACAATTGAGACCTACACATATGTGTAGACTAAGTCTTGTACCTACAAAATGCTAATTGCATATGTGATGTGTGTTGTGTATTATGATGTGTTTTTGTATGGTCTTGTATTGCGATTTTTTTTAAATATTAGTACTCGTATGTTCAAAAGTGTGAAGTTTAATTAATTTAGAGTGTGGTAGCCAGTAAAAAGAATAAACTCATTGCTCATACTGCTGCTGCTGTTGCACTTGGCGATTTAGCCGATTGGAGGCTCTGCTGTGGTCTGTATCGGAATCTCTGTTCCATCCAGATTTCTTTCTTTTTTTTTTCTTCTTGGGCTGTTCTACCGGGGTCACCAATGTGGGATCTTAAAATTTGTTTATCCCATCATATGAATAGATGCGAGAATCGAAAACCATGAATATAGTTCCATAAAAATATGACCGGTTTCGAAGCAGTAGATTTCAAATTTATTCAAATTCAATAGAAGTTGACATGCCATTGAGATCAGTATTATACAAAAGCATTTAATTAAATTACAGGAAACCCCAGTAATATCTGAAAACAATTCATAATTTGAGAATGCTCTCCTGGCGGTATTTTCGACGTTAGTAGACCCAAATCCATTAGATTTTGGTTTATTGACATGTAGGCTTAGCTTTTCCCAAAACAACTTTTGTACATTTTTTTTTCTAGGTAAATGCAGCTTTATTTGTCTCGCCCCGAACTTGCCACTTTTTAGGTTTAATCGATAGGAAATGTGGATTACACATTCAAAAAAATGAATCCATTAATGAAGTGGACTTTCTTTAGGTCTAAATATATCGGACATGAAGTCGGTGATAGTAAAAAATTTAGCATCAATTAATGTAAGACAGAGATGAAAATCAACTATTACTTGACATCCATTTACTGTGAAATCAAATGGTTTAAGATTTTGAATTTTCTTCCCCAAGTTATTTTTTTCATTCATGATATGTTCCTTGGTTTCTTTCGCATATTGAAGTTTGATTGATCTACAAAATCTTAGCGACTGAGGAGTTAAGTTACTCGTAGTCAGTCTTAGTGGTATAAGCATAGTTGAAAAAATACTGGAATCTTGTGAACCTTCGGCTTCTTTCAAGAACTGTTTGCCTATGGTAATTCTGGATATTACATCTTCCTGTAATATGAAAATTCGGTTTGTGGTATGAGATAGAAGATCCTGAGTGGTGCCAAATTTTCAGTAATTTCGATATTATCTGGTCGACATTCTGATTTATTAACCGACTTCAAAAAAGGAGGAGGTTATCAATTCGTCGCGATATTTTTACTGCTCAGTGGGATAGCTATATACTGCTGCTTAGTAAATCTGTTGTTGAGTATAACTCTTCTTGAGGGGTGTATTTAATTGCATCCTTGGTCTTGGCCTTGATAGAAAATTACACTTTTTTATTTTAGAAGCTCTTGTGGGATTTTTTAAATACACGCTAAGTCTTTATTTTCACTGGCTGTTGCAGCAGCTACAGCGACACTTACAATTAAACTGGAATCGTGTTCATTTTCCCTAGAAAATTTCAATACATCTCGTTTTTGCGACTTTAGACTTTTGTCGGAAAATGGCAATTTTGAGCGACCTACTGGTTCTGATCGTAGAGTCAACCAATTACTATTTATAATTGTTCGTGCTTCCCTACTTTTCCTAAAGATCGTATAGCCTTGGAGCCATCCTTTGAATTTACTCAAAAAAGCAGATTTATTTCTGTCATTTTTGGACCATTTTAATTTCAAATGAACGCAAAATAAACGTGATTTTTCCGTACATGTTTGATGTAATATTCTATTGCATTTTCATCATAATTGCTCAAAACAACATTGGCGACAGCAACGGGTTTAAGGGTAGGGTTGTTTTCGGAGAGCCAAACATTGAAAAGATTTTTATTTTTGAGTCGCAAAACTTCTAAAACAATAATATATTCATTTGTTTTGAGTTTTTGGTTAAATTTCAAGAAAATAAAGTATTAAAAATATAATTTTATTTTACCCTTAGACAATTTTAAAAGTCAAACTCGTGCTACAAACTTTAAGAATGCTATTATTATCTTATTTTTTATAGACAATTGCAAAATATATGAATAACTAGTTAAACAATTTTTAAAACAGAAAATTTTTTAAAATAAATATTTCTATTGAATAGTTATTTCAGAATACCAGTCGTGGGTAAAGTTTTAAAGCCAAAAAAATCATATTTACGCGCTGATACGCAACTTGTTTTTTTATAATAAATAAGTCTAGATTTTAAAGAAATAAAAAACGCCTATATTAGATCTGACACCTGCTGATACTTTTTTGTACCTTTATTTTTAGTTAATAAATTGCAAATAAGATATATACTAGATTTTAAATAATTACAACTTACAATTACGGAATGTTTTAATATATTTTACATAAACAAATTAATCTTAGCTTGATCAATATTAGTCAATATCAAAATTCATCAAAAAATAATCGTTTTGATATTGCACATTTACAAACTTCACTTACAGACTGTTAGAATAAACAAAAATGACACACAGTGTCAACTTTCGCTTGTCTTGACGCGCAGCCTACTAGATATTTGAGTGAAATTTTTATGGAATAATATGAGATGATGATTTGTCAAATGAATTATGCTACTAATGTTGTTAAATTATTATTTTCATTATTTATTAATTTTGGACAGATTTAGGATCTCCTGTGCCGCCAGACTTATTTAGCAATTTCGTAAATCAGCCAGACTTTTGATTATAGTTTATTTTTAAATATACAGGGTGTCCCGAAATTAGACGGTCATTTTTTAACAGCATAATCTACATCCTAAAATAGGAGTAAAAGTTTATATAAACAAAGGTCCGAAAACGTTTCTTTTTCGAGATACAGGGTGTTAAAAGTGAAGTCCTGATGACACATTTTTGTAAATATTTTCTAAACGCTTAAAGATAACTAAATGAAATTTGGTACAAATGCTTACCTTTTTACGCTCTATGTAATGGACTAAATATTAATTTTTGATCATCTTCATAGATGGGTAAATTAGGGGGTGGCTTAAGGTAAAATTGCCCTACATTTTTTTGTTGTAAGTTCTTAACATTTTTGACTAAAAAATTTGAAAACTCAATGTTTTCTTTACAATAAAGCTACTCTTGCTGCATCTCGCTAGGACGCACCATTTTCAAGAGAAAAGCATTTGAAAATTTCATGATAAGTTCATATTATCTTATTCGAAAGTGCAAACAAAAATTAGTAGGCCTGGAATCCAATAGCAGCTTTTCAATTTTTTGAGACGCTGTGATAAACAAAAATTGGCTGTCAATTGTGTAATTATTTGTACTTTTTTTGCGTGAAAGAAAAATACTTCTAATAAATGGAGAGATTTTCAAATAGAGAATTGGCAGATATTCATTTTGTATATGGTTTGTGTAATGGAAGGGCAAGAGCAGCGGTACGAGCATACCGTAGACGGTTTCCTAACCGAAGAATTCCTGACTACCGTGTATTTATTAATACACATAAAAATTTGGTTGACCATGGTTCATTTCAACGTGATCGTGGACAAGGGAGACCACATGGGAACAACAATTTGGAACACGCCCTTAATTTATTTGAAGAGGACCCAAGAAGGAGTATTCGAACTGTTTCCACCCTTTCAGAAATACCACGAGCAATAGTAAGTAATAATTACTTCCCTTTTTCTTTATACTATTTTGTGATTCTTTGTTTTTATTGCTCAAATTTATAAGTACAAGTATTAGAAATTAAAAATTTAAACAAACCGACTTCAAAAACGTGCAGATGCCATCACCACATCTTAACCAAATTTATATGGGACTTCCCCTGAGGTATCCCCTTACTAACAAAAAAATAATCATATAAATCGGACAAGGTGGTAAAGCATTATCGCTAAACATACATAAAAAAATGAAGAGTTTGAGGATTTTCTCATGGACCCAATTATTAGATTTTGAAAATCATTGAAATCGGACACCGTGTTAAAGAATTATCGCTGAACATACATAAAAAAAATATCGCGACGAATTGAGAACCTCCTCCTTTTTTGAAGTCGGTTAAAAATAACATACACAAGTTTCAGATTAAAGGCATTTTTAAATTATTCTTACTTTAGTTTACGTGTCTTTTAAAAAATATGTTCATTTAGGTTGAAAAAATGTTAAGAATGCAGGGTATTCATCCCTATCATTATCAGCGTGTTCAAGCCTTAAGAAATTACCAGCTATTCTTAATTTCAAATACAGTTTTGCTATAATTTTAAGATATTTAACGTATCTGACTTATTTTTACCAACCTAAGGATTACCCTAAAAGAGTTTAAAAGTCGGCAGTTAAAGAAATAAATTCTCATCAATCATTTTATTGGGCAAAAGCCAACCAAACCAATAAAAAAAACAATTGATTAGTTTAAGTTTAAATACTATTTAGTTTTACCATTTAAAGTTTCTTTATAAAATAAACATTAAATTAAAGCTAAATACATTTCTTTAGTCACCAGTTTTCCAAACCTGAAAAAAAATTCTGATTCCACAGGCCTGCTAATTATTGTTTGCACTTTCGAATAAAATAATATGAACTTATCATAAAATTTTCAAATGCTTTTTTCTTGAAAATGGTGAATCCTAGCGAGATGCAACAAAAGTAGCTTTATTGTAAAGAAAACATTGGCTTTACAAATTTTTTAATCAAAAATGTTAAAAACTGACAACAAAAAAACTTAGGGCAATTTTACCTTAAGCCCCCCCCTAATTTACCCATCTATGAAGATGATCAAAAACTAAGATTAAGTCCATTACATAGAGCGTAAAAAGGTAAGCATTTGTACTAAATTTAATTTAGTTATCTTCAAGCGTTTAGAAAATATTTACAAAAATGTGTCATCAGGACTTCACTTTAAACACCCTGTATCTCGGAAAAGAAACGTTTTCGGACCTATGTTTATATGAACTTTTACTCCTATTTTAGAATTTAGATTACGCTGTTAAAATATGACCGTCTAATTTCGGGACACCCTGTATATCAGGTTATGTAGAAAGCTTGACATTGATTTTTTTTTTAAAATATTATTTCATGAAACTCTATCTACTATTTTGCAGTTTTTATTGTAAATATATTCATTTTCACAATTTGTCACATATTTCAAATAAAATATTTTTTAAATACCTTTTATTGGCAAAAAACAAGTAAATTAAAATGTGTATTTTATAAGATAAGTCCTATCAGAATACATAATATTAGACAGATACAAACTAGAATGAAGATATATAATGCGTGGGATTCTAAATTATATTTTTCACTGTTTAACAGATCCCCATTTTCAATCATATTTTTTTTTTCAGAATCCGTAGGCTTCATCGCCTTTTAGAGCTTGAGTTTTTCCAAAAATTGTTTTTTTTTGTCCCCTTACTTTTATTCACTTTTTTTCACAATCAGCATCATCACTTTATTATAGAGCTGGATTTCTACTAAAAATTTCATGTTGATATCGCTTTTCATTTTTGGTTTATTTTTTTTTTAATTTCAACCCCTCTTAAACCCCCTATTTTTAATTAGATTTTCTCAAAATCAAAGGGCTTTTTTCCTTATAGAGCTTGATGTTGGCTAAAAATTTCAAGTTGATATCATTTTTCGTTTTAGAGTTAGGATTTTTTTTAATATTTTAACCCCCCTTAACTCCCCAATTTAATAAATTTTTTTTTAGAATCAATAAGCTTTATTTCTTCTTATAGATCTTTATTTTTACTAAACATTTCATGTTAATATCGCTTTTCGTTTTTAAATTAGTTTTTTTTTTTATTTCAACCTATCTTAACCCTCTATTTGAAATCAGATTTTTTCAAAATCAATAGGCCTAGTCCCCTTATAGAGCTTGTTTTTTGCTTAAAATTTTCAAGTTAAAATCATTTTTCGTTTTTGACTTATCATGTAGACAATAAACGTGACATCCTATAATACTCCTCACATATGAAGAGTAGAATAATAATATAATCAAGGCTAAAAAAATAACATAACAGCCTTAACAATAGGTACACTAAAAGAATGATAAAGACAAAGTTCTTAAAATTATTAAATACGTTTATCAGTACCTCGGAGATAAACTGCGCTATGTCATTCTAGTCAACTTTTTAGTAGAGCAGACTGAATGTTGGTTGAACACTTTTAGTGTTCTAGATATACATACAATAATTATATTTCGACAAGAAATGCAGTTTGCCTCAATTAGTGTCACAATATGTATTGTTTACTAATAATCTAAATATTAAAACTATTTTTTTAATATACATGAATTGTTGGATTTTGTAACATAATTCTTACATAGTTATTACTTTAAATTCTAAAACAAACAAAAAATATTCCGATATCCTTAATAACAACGATGAAAGGAGAGGGTGAAACTTTTAAGTGGCCCACCCTGTATATCCTCATTTCCAAATTTATCGCTTGTCTAACTACCTTTCGCTGTTCCAAATCCAATGACCTCCCCTTTTGTTCTCCTTTAAACGGTTCCTTATTCCTCCCCGAAGACAGCGTATCGTCGACAAGGCCACCCACTTAATCCCCGAGTAATAACCCCCTATACTACCCCAATCCTGTTGAGATTGATCTGCATTAATATGCCGTTTAAAATTAGTCTGTTCCGTCGGGTTCATTCATT